AGCAGTGTATGTGTAAGCAGTGTATGTGTAAGCAGTGTATGTGTAAGTAGTGTATGTGTAAGCACTGCTGCTGCTCACGCTCTGCATCTGACTGTGGGGCTCTGATGCTTAGCATAAACTCTGGCATTCGTGCATCATTTGCCAGCCCCACAAAAGGGATTTTCACTGTGTAATAGTTAAAGCACATTTGTGTTGTTTGTGGTGGAAGAGACATAGAAATAGAAGATATAGCATGGAGAACCTATGCATGAAAGAGAAGACAAGACAAATATATCTGAAATAAGCAGAAGACTGCATAGCAATACACATCATTGCGGACTTGCCCTGACACCTGTCTAGAAGCATCTGGAAAACCTACTACTGGAATTGCCAGGAGCTGTCTTTTATGAACAATGGAAGTGCTCACTGAGGACTACAGTTTCCATCCAAAGAAAAACAGTTAAAAGACAGTGGCTGGGATGGATTGTACTGAATGGGACCAACAGCAGACTGGGTATCATAGGAGAAACTCCTGGTGAACTACAGATGAGATGGAAGCTCTCCCACAGGAAACAAAAGACTGGAAGACATGAACCATGAGCATCCACAACTTGACCAGTTCAGTGTACATATAACAAAGGCTCCTAAGAGAGACGAGAAGTCGGAAAGCGTGTGTGAAAGAATCTTGAGGGAAATGTTCCAAACCTGACAGTCACTTACCGACTCGGGAAGCTCAATACACCCTGGACTCACAAATAGTGATAAAATAGTTACTGTGCAGAAAAATACTTAAAACTGGTGGTAAGGGGCTGGAGAGATGGCTCAGAGATTAAGAGCACTGGCTGCTCTTCCAGAGGTCCTGAGTTCAATTCCCAGCAACCACATGGTGGCTCACAACCATCTGTAATGAGATCTGGTGCCCTCTTCTGTCATGCAAGCAGAACACTGTATACATAATAAATATCTTTTTAAAATTTAAAAAAAAATGGTAAGGGAGGAAACTGCAGGGTACTTAGAGCAGGCACCATATGTACATAGGAGTGAAGACAAAATGATAGAGCTGGGCTGGTGGTGGCACATGTCCTTAGTCCCAGCACTTGGAGGGCAGAAGCAGGCAGATCTCTGAGTTCCAGGGCAGCCAGGGCTACACAGAGAAACCCTGTCTCAAAAACTCAATCATAATAACAATAAAATAAAAATAAATAAAAAAATGACAGAGCTGGGAGTGGCGAGTTAACAGGAAGGAGTATTATCACACCCTACTAGAAAGCCAGTCAATCACAAGGCAGTGTTTTCTGAGCAAAGAACCTTGATGTGACAGCATTAAGCAGGGTTCTAGCCAGGTCTGATGGTGTCGACCTGCAATTCCAGTATTCGGGAGGCTGAGGCTGGGTGATCATGAGTTCAAGGCCAGTCTTGGCTGCACAGTGAGACTCTGACCTCTAAAACAAAAACAAATCTGAGGGCTACAGATGTTGCTCAGTGGTAGAGCCTGTGCCTTGAGTATGCAGACCCTGGGCTTGCTCCAAAGTACCGCAGCCAAATAATAACAATAATAACAACAAATAATAATAAAAATAAAAATTATTATAATTATTATTAATAATAGTAGCATAGTAAGAGACAGAAGACTCTGGTCAGATATAAGAAAGGAGATTATAAGGTAACAGAGCAACTTTTAGACCCCCAAAGAAAATGAACTGACTTTTCAGAATTATCTTTCAGATATGAAGTGAAATCCTTTAATTCTTAAGAATGAAGATAACTTCCGCAATTAACTACAAGTGAATCACAGATCCTAAAGTATAATATTAAGAAGGTGTAGGGGCAAATCTTACATCAGGCGTGGCTTATTAGATGTGACCCTGAACCAGAAGCAACCAAAGAAAACCAATGTAGCTAAGGTGTCCCTCTCCAGCTGGAGAACGCCTGTCAGAAAGGATTTCATAAACGGGAGTGAAAAGACAAGTAGAGGGAAGGAAGTGGCAGTGTGCTGGCCCTTGTCTGCAATCCTAGCACTCAGGAGATGTGGGTGAGAAGATGAGCTTAAAGGCTAGCCTTGTCTGCATGCAAAGTTCAGAGACAGCCTAGGCTACATGAGAACCTTGACTCTTTTCTCTTCAGCAGAAAATAAGTGTAATTCATATAGTTAGTAAGGGGTTCATATCTAGAACACATAAGCAATTCTTACAGTTCAATATGTGAGGGCCACTAAGCAGATGATGCAGTGTACCGTGAACCTTTAGAAAATGTGAAAACAGAAGCCGATGGGTGCCTGCTTTGAGCTTATGAGGGTGGCTACAACGAAAAAGACAGTAACAACTGTAGGCGAGGATGTGGAACAATAGGGTCCCACACAGTAATAGGGACAAGCCATCTACCTGGGTGGAGGAATAAATCAATAAAACTCCTACAAGATGACACAGGACAAAATGTGCTGCCGAGAGAACCAGCTCTCAACAGGTCAGAGAAACTGGAGAGGAGGAATGGCATCGCAGAACTGCATACACACAGGAGGGCCACGGCTTAATTCTTCATTTTATTTTCCTTTCTGCTGCTGCTTCTCTTTTTTTCTGTTCTTTTTCCCTGTTGTTTTCCTGTTCCTCCTCCTCTTTCTCCTCCTCTTTCTCCTCCTCCTCCTTTTTCTCCTCTTCCTCCTCCTCTTCCTCTTCCTCCTTCTCTTCTTCCTCCTCTTCCTCCTTTTCTTTCTCTTCTTCCTCTTCCTTCTCTTCCTCCTCCCCTTTCTCTTCCTCTTCCCCCCTCAGTTGTTCTCCTTCTGCATCTTTCCTGATGTTTTCCTATTATATTTCTTATTTTTCTTTTATGCCCCCAAGACAAAAATTTCTAAGCAAGTAAAGATTACCTCACGACCACAAGTTACAAATTTTCCAAAACAAAATTAAAATCTTTACACAGGAAGAAATCACGTTGTGATCACAAGTTCTATGTTTTCCTTAGAAGCCCACAAAGAAACATTTTTCTTTGTATTAATTTTCCCATCATAACATCTTCACCCCAAAGCAATGATTCTCTTACAATCAATGAACCAAGTTTTAAGAAAGTTAAAAATATTTCAGTCAGTTCCTTTCATACTGGCAGGCAGCTGTTTGACATTTCAGTGTAAGACTCCTATCCAGTTTCTGCTCTAGAGAAACATTAAACAAGTGGCCAGCTAGCCAATTCTTTCTCTTTACACACAATAGGGTCATTTAATTTCCTTTCAGAACTTTTTTTTTCAAGGAGCATACCAGGGCCTGTGATTAATTCTGTAAGTTACATGATCAAGGAACTCAGACCTAACCTTGAGTGTAGGAGTATAATTGCTTTCTGTGATCATTACCCTGTTTCCCCACAGGCTGAATTCGTGTGTCTATAACGCATGAAACTTCCTTGCTTTTATTTTCCATCTTCTGAAAATCTCCCATCTATCAGAGGGGAAGGTGACTTCTAGCCTATTTTGTGTTTTTATTGTTGTTTTTTTATCTCTTATTGGAGCAATTGGCAGACTAACCTAAACTATTTCCCTAATTATCCTTACTACCTGTATCTTTTATCAGAACGTCCACTTAAATCATAGATCTAACTAATCAGCATTGCCTCTCCAGGATGTACCCAGCACAGCTTTGCTATCTGCTGGTCCGTATTCCATGAGCTCCATTGCTGTCTGTAGCTCCTCTGACATGGCCACTGGCAAAAATGTGTGTCAATTTACATTTGACCAAAAAGAATTTTAAGTTATAAAAAGCACAAACTCTGAAAGAAATGAATCAGTACATTGGATTTAACCAAAATGGAAGTTTCTACTCTGTCTTCTATATTCAGTGGATGAAAATTCAAGGTCAAATCAAACAGGATAAAGTGTTTGTAAAACATGTTTATAGACAAATTAGGTCAAAATATATGAATACTCTCTTAACTAATTAATAATAAATCAACTGTACTTGGAAAAGTGAGCAAAACCGATTACTATCCAGCAACTGTGCACACAGAAGGTACTGCAGTGTGAATCACTGGTGAGGTGCAGCTCTCAAGCACATTCTTACACATACGCTAGAATGGTACAATTAAAAGGTTTGATGGACTGGACAGATGGCTCAGTGGTTAAGAGCACTGGATGCTCTTCCAGAGGTCCTGAGTTCAGTTCCCAGCACACACATGGTGGCTCACAACCATCTGTAATGAGGTCTGGTGCCCTCTTCTGGTGTGCAAGCATACATGCAGGTAGAACCCTGTGTACATAATAAATAAATATTTAAAAAAAGAAACACTGTCTCCACCAAAAATTTTTTTAAAAGGTTTGATGTCAACAAGTACTGACAAAGCTGAAGGCTGCTAAAAGTCTCACAGCACTGTAGACAGGAACGTGGACGGTGTAGTCAACAGTGTGAGCTGTTGGGAAACAGGGTGGCGATTTCCTGACTATAAAACACATCTGCCTTACACACCCAGTCTTTCTTTCCCCAGAGAAAGGAAACAAAAGGCTTGTACACAAATCGTCAAAGTGGCTTTGTTTGAAGCAGTAAAAAGAAGCAAAACAAACAAAAACCACAAGCAAACATACGCCCATAAATAAGCAAATAGAAGATACGTTTTGGAAAGCGGCTGAAAAAATTAA